AAATGCCATACGTCAGCAAAATAGGATTCGTCTTCCTTTATTTCCTTATCACAGACATATATTACAAGTTCCTTGTATTTTTTGGGGGTGGGTGTGAACGTGAAGAGGGCCCAATGGCACAATTGTTGGCGAAGTTTCTCTTCGTCTATGGACAGAAGTTTGGTGTCCATCTGAAGGACCTTGCGCTTCTCGTGCCAGTGCGCCTTATACATGTTTTGCTGGGCTTTGTTGGAGATCTCGGACACACTGTCCTGTGTTTTGGAATGAAGCTTGAGGATGTATGTAGAGATTTAGAATCACAGACGCATGCTAATACTACCACTATTGTATGATGTGCGTCTCGAGGTTTTGAATTCGTTACTGGTTTTGTCAAGGTTTTGTGCTCATTGACTATTCTCTGACCAAGGACACATGATCACCACCACCCGAAACAATCACCGCCCGAAACAATTACTGGGTGACCTTAAAGGCTATGTCCAGGATCATCAATGTTTTGTCTTGCTATTTGTCCTTCTAGAGACAGCAACAAAACAACGCATATCTGATATTTCAGTGTGGCAAATTACGAATTGAGTGCGCCCGGATATGTACTCCGAAACGAAATGCCATCTACAGACGGACAGATCACGAGAACACGTGTATTACTAGGAAACTTCCCTAGCCCTTATTTTCATCCGAAATTTGGGGTGCTGCTGATAGGTCCTTCTTGAGGAGAAACAGTGAGTAACTGTGTGGCATAGAACGGTAATAAAAGGAAAATGTCGACACTCACATCGCACGATGGTGGGGTTTTGACATGTGTCTGGGGTTCCAAGTCGTCGAGCTCATTGTCTAATCCACACAGGGTACGACCGAAACCTCCAGCACAGTCAAGTAAGAGATGTCGGAAGCCCAACACATGATAAACGAGTTCCTTGAGGTGACCGCCGAATATTCTTCCATGGATTATGAGGACCTTGAGTATAGTCGGTGCCACTTCGTTTTCGGATTGGGGGTCGACTCCTACGTATAAGAAGACCTTGAATAAGACGTCTCCCATGAGGAGAGATGCGACGATTGACGCTATTTGGAGTGCATGGGGTAGGGATTCTGTGGGACATACGAGCTTGGGTGAGTTTATTCTGGGTTGGATAAAATACTGTGTGTACCGAAGCTGAGACTTGAGGCAACGGGAGGTTTCAGGAGAAAGAAGGCACTGGTCAAGAATAGAGATTCTGCGGGTATGCGGAGGACAGGATGAATTTTAGAGGGGTTCAAAAAATGTCTTATGGAGAGCGGGATCAAGAACAGACTAAATATCGACAAGGTGGTGAAAATCATTTCCATGTTGAAGGTAGGACAAAATTGCATTAGCGAGGGCTGTGGAGTCCTCAATCGGAATGGAAAGGAGCTCCCCAAAAGGACCTCACGACACCTATAAAGGCATGCTACTGGCGTGCACCATTCAGGCATTATGAAAAACGAATAGAACTTTCAGTTGGTGACAAAGGCAAGATCAAGGTTGGAGCAAGATGAAAGGAAAGTGAACGTTGAGGAACGCTGACGGAAGAATTTCGTACGTAAGCAGGGCATTTCTTCACATCTCTACCACTACACCACACACACCCTGGAGACAACCTCAAAGCCAGCCGTACACGCGACGAAGACCTCAAACGTCGTGGCTGTAGTGTCCACCGTAAAGAACACGACACGGAAAAGAAGCTTGGCAAGATGGGATCAGAGCACAAACACCTTCAGAAGCAGACGGAGTTGCTGAATAGGCTGAATTGGAGATTAGAGCAAGGGTTGGGTGATTTCAAAAAGGAGAGGAGTATGGTTAGGGTCGTTATGGGGCTTCATTGATAATCATATGCAAGCAAAAGTGCCTTTGTTCTCCATCCATCTCCACTTACGATTTTCATAAAGATTGCACACAACTCGACTATCCCAGCGTTGGGCGGAAACATGGAATTAAGGCCTTTACAAGATCTGATAACTGCTGAAAAAGCAGTTCTTATCTTGTAAACGTTCTACCCTCCTTATCTTGCTATGCTTTTATGCTAACCAGGGTATAGGTTACAAAAGCTTTCTGTATACTATTCGAAAGCCACTGAAGCTTTGCGGAGGGTGACGATCTCGGTGTACGCCTTTCCCTCTTTCTCTTTCACTCAACGACTACTGATAAGACAACGCAGGACATCCTATCAGCATCAACAACCCTCCTATCCCACTTCTCCACCTCCCTAGCGCACTACTCAACGCACACCCACATGCTCATCTGAGACAACCTCAAAGCCATCTGAACGCGCGAAGAGTCCCTCGAAGACCTCAAACGCTATCGACGAACCGTCCACCGCAAAGCAGACGACGCAGAGAAGAAGTTGGGAAAGATGGGGTCGGAGCATAAGCATCTGCAAATGCAGAATGAGTTGTTGAATAGGTTGAATGGGGAGATTAGGGCGATGGATGGGGAGATTATGAGTGAGGAAACAGGGTTGGGTGATTTTAAGAGGAGTACGATTCGGGTTGTTATGGGATTGAAGTTTGGGGGGTTGGTTGAGTGTTGTGAGAAGGGTGTTGTGCGTGTTTCTCTCCTCCTCCTCTCTATATCTTCGTTGGTTGACAATGGATGGGATAGATCATAGGTGAATACAGAAAACTAGTAACCGCCGTACGTCCCCCTTTCTCCCTCTCTCCCTTTCTCCCATCTCACCCTGCTCAGGAAATCCCAGAAGAAACAACCCAACCAGGCGCACCCCAAAGCCTATACTACGGCCACACAAAAACCAAATCCCTACTCATAGAAGCTACACGCGCACTCTCCGATGTCCAACTATCAAGGTCTTTACCATCCCCCATGAGTTCCGGCGGATTCCGGTGGATTCCAAGCGGAATGTTGGAATTCCATGGAATTCCAATGGAAACCAGTTGGCTGGAGCCTCAGCCATTCTGGTTTCCAATTCCGTGGAAATTCCAATGGAATCCAATGGAATCCAGTGGAAATGGTTGGAATCTGGGAGCCTCCCGGAACAGTTTCCATCGGAATCCATTGGAATTCCAACCAGATTCCATGGAATTCCAATGGAAAGTATATTCCAGTCAAATTCCAACAGATTCCAATGAATTCCAATATTTGTTGTTGTTATTATAATATATATAAAAATAAGTGGATGCACGAGGATTGAACTCTAGCCTCGGTGAATGTCACGTGAATTCTTAGCAGCAATATTTCCACTACACCATATGGCTGTTAAAAGCCTAGTAACATTTATTCTATATAACCCATCCTCACGCCCACCTTCCTAAACGAGTCACGGCGTTCGCCGGCGTCACCATCAGCATCCAAGGGGCAACCACCCGAGCATCCGGTTGGGTCAACTGGTCCCATCGGGGTCGTGGGATTTAGCCTGATTTGACACATGCATCCAAATGTCACAGTAGTAGTCACAAATTCTTATCTGTACATAGATCAGTTGGGCGTGTTCACGACTTTCTTTCTACATTTCCCCAATGGCTCGACAAGGCTCATCTGCACCCTGTCTCTCTTCAGCTCCTCTTTCATGATCTAAATGCCATCACTGTTCAGGATCCCATGTTCCTCGCAAGCCTCCGTGGTTAATTGTGCATCCACTTTCAAGAATTCCTCCTCCTCTCACATGGCTTCAAAAACATGTCGATTGACATCTGTCAAGGAATCTTGGGAAGCTTCTGGTCATTAGCATCAGGACCCATGTCAAGAGAACCCTGTGCATGCTTGGTAAGCAGATGAAAAATAGTGTTATATTTCCAGATTGTCCTCCGTTCTCCCGATATTGCGAATGGAGGACATAACTGACAATAAATTGGCATGTTAGTGCAGGGATTTGGCTTTGACGGTTCAAGCACAGCCTTGTATTGCATTTTTTCATAATGGTATATGCACGTCGATGTCGTGGATTTGCTGTTGTCGTCAGAGAAATGTCCGTACTGCAAAGATCACATTGAATACTGTGCTTCCCAGTAATATTATTGATTGTGGTTGTTATCCTAGGAGCACCAGGGAGTTGAATTTCCTTTGGATCTTCAGCTGCGGGTCGAGGTTTTGGCATTTCTTTTTGATTTCTTTCAGTGAGAATGGGGGGAAGGAACAACAAATTGATTGAAAAGCCTGTCTATGGTAAAAACACAACATGCAAGGCAGATATTTTAAGTGTTATGGTAAGGGTCTTCAATTGAATCTGTGGAGCGCGTTGAAGCAACGTTGAAGGCGCATGCTAAATGAGCGCGGGCGTGACAATCATTTTGGGATTGCACGTGTTGACTCCCACGACCCCAATGGGACCAGTTGTCCTAACGGGATGCTCGGGTGGTTGCCCCTTGTCAGCATCTGTGTTTTGCTGTCAACCACAACCACAACCACCACCACCGTCACCGCGACCGGCGCGGTCACCTCCAATCACGCCCATGTCAGCGGACAACGACGAGGATGGACGACGACACGATGACGAGGATGGACGGAGGACGTTGACAACCACGTCAACCGACAACGTCGACGAGCGCCCATGACGATGACGAGCCCCCTCCCTTTTCCCTCCCCCTTCCCTTTTCCCTCTCCCTTCCCTTTTCCATCCCCCTTCCCTTTTCCATCCCCCTTCCATTTTCCATCCCCCTTCCCTTTTCCATCCCCCTTCCCTTGTCAATCCCCTATTTCTTGTGCCCCCCCCCCCTTCCTTTTCCCTTTTCCCTTTTCCCTTTTCCCTTTTCCCTTTTCCCTTTTCCCTTTTCCCTTTTCCCTTTTCCCTTTTCCCTTTTCCCTTTTCCCTTTTCCCTTTTCCCTTTTCCCTTTTCCCTTTTCCCTTTTCCCTTTTCCCTTTTCCCTTCCTTTTCCCTTTTCCCTTCCCCCCCCCCTTCCTTTTCCCTTTTCCCTTCCCCCTTCCCTCCTCATTTCCTGCCCCTTCCTTGCCCATCCCCTCCCTCTCTAGTATACACTGTATGTAAAATATATTTTGTATTATAATTGAAATACATCATTATTTGATCTAATTCACTTGTGAATTTTATAAGGAGGTTTGAATTTCTGACTTCAATAAATACAGCTCAAGTCACCTGACCTCTAGCTCAGTTCTGATCAGCACTAATCAGTCTTCTGGAATTCCATTCAGATTCCGGTGGAATCCATTGGAATTCCATTCAGAATCCGGCGGAATCCACTGGAATTTGAGATTCCTACCATTCCGGCGGACTCCAGATGGAATTCCGACATTCTATGGGAGTCCGCTGGAGTCCGCCGGAACTCATGGGGGAGGGTAAAGTACTGCAACTATCCACCGTCCCAGGGGTGTTGATGCAGCCTCGCCACCGGTTCGACGCCAAGCTTCCCAGCTTGCCCACAGACGACGCCGATGACGTTGGGAGTAACAGTAATGTTTGGGCACCAGAAGATTCATCGAGTTACGTTCCCCCGATAGTGACAACAACTGGAACTGGGGGATCCTTTTTCCCTCCTTACACCTCCCAATCGCAATCACAACCCTCTTCCCCCTTCTCTCATGCCCCACCACACCAAGGGACAGTAGACGATTTCGGCATCCTCCCCCCACACTCATCAATCGATACAGGAGGAGGTGGTGGAGGGAGGTTCACTACGTTCCCCATAAAGACTCGTGATAGGGAGGGCGGTGGTGGTGGTGTGGGATATACCCTTTGCGACGACCCTATATCTCCCAGCTCGAGGTCCCTTCACAACACAACTGCGGAGCCGCCCTCGTTAAACACGAACACACGCCATGAAATGGGCGTGTCGTTCTCCATGTCTGTCACTGAGGCGCTTGGTTTGGGGAGCAAAGATCAGCTGTGGGCAAGAACGACGATGAGTGATGCAACGCCTATGTCGTCGGCAATTCAGCCTCTTCCGCCTGGTGCGGCGCCCGCCTCTGTTCCGGAGGGTGTTAATCCATGGAGTTTGCCGCCTTTGGGAGGGGCTGGTTCAGGAGGGGGAGTGCTGGGATTGGGAACACCAGGAACTCTAGGAGTACAAGGGGCACAAGCGGGGAAACAAGGAAGACATGTGTCGAACCATTCGATTGTGTCAGACGACGACGATGCACTGCTGGCGTATATGTTGAATGCGGATGCCGATGCTGATGCCGATGATGGGGAGCATTGACGTTTGTTGAGTGGTGGAGGTGCGGCTCCTGGTACTGCTGCTCCAATCACGACACAGGACGAAGGCGGGGAGATGGAGAGAGGGCAGAGCCGACACGTCAGGTTCGGTGGTGGGACTGGTCACGAACTTGGTGAAGCGGAGGAGTGGAGGCGGTCATTGGAGGAGAGAAGGTCGGATCCGCATACGAAGGCACCACAAATCAGGCAGGGGGAGGTTGATCATGATCAAGAAAGAGGTGCGTTTCGTTTAGTTGTCGAGTTGGAGTTGTGGGCTGATTGAGATGTTGGTACTTAGGTCTACCAGCGGAGATGACGATGATGGCTCTCCCAACATCTCCTCCAACCTCGAGTATCAACACTGATGCCTCTTCTTCTCTCATCCAAGGCAAACACATCCCTCCATCCTCTCCCAACCCACAAGAAACACAAGGGGGAGGGGAAGATGAACGGGCGTTGAACGCAGCTGTTGTGAGAGAGATAAGCAGGCAGATGGATCAATTGACGTTTAACCCCCCTTCGACGGCGAGCTTGGATCCTGAGGGTGAACGTGAATGTGAGCGTGGTCAATCGCCGTTCCTTGGTGGTGGTGATGGGAATCAACAGCAGCCGAGCAGGGAGCCCTCACCTCTCTTACCCCCTTCTGCACCGTTTGCGAAATGTGCTGTGTCGCCTCATCCATTTGCGGATTTGAACCCAGGGGGAGGAGGAGGAGGAGGGGGGTAC